GTGAATGAAACAAATAACAAAAGAGGCAGGTGTCAGAAAATCATGAGATGAGGGCCTATGAAAAATGGAAGAGCAATGAGGAGTATATCAGTGTAGCAGCACTGTGGGGCCTAAACAGCCAGATAAGCAAACAGGAAAGTGAGAATGAATTAAGAGATGCTTGTGAAACAGACTAAAAAAGGCCAAGAGGTGGTATGCGAGGTAAACAATAGAGCTGTGGACCAAGTGAGGAATTAGAACATGACTAATGGGTAACATCTCTTTTGGTATGTTTATCTAACAAGTAAATAATTGGGACTTTTATTATTATATTTTATTTTTATTCCAAACTCTTTTTATTAAAAAAAAAGAAGAAAGAAAATAATAACTCTTTACAATGTTTGAGGTACAGCCAGTGATCGACTTTTCATATTATATTTTTTTTTAATCCAAATTCTTTTTATTAAGATAAAAGAGCAAGACAGGACATCACCATTTAACAGATGGACAATCCAAATAAGTACATAGAAGTAAAGAGGACAGAAATGCACAAACATACATTACAGTACACTATAGGTACAAACAATACTATACAAAATTGAAAATAATTAAAAAAAGGAAAAAGAAAAAAAGAAGAAAGAAAATAATAACTCTTCACAATGTTTCAAGTACACCCAGTGATCAGCTTTTCATATTATATATATTTTTTTTAATCCAAACCCTTTTTATTAAGATCAAAGAGCAGGACAGGACATCACCATTTAACAGATGGACAATCCAAATAAGTGCATAGAAGTAAAGAGGACAGAAATGAACAAATATACATTACAGTACACTATAGATACAAACAATACTATACAAAATCGAAAATAATAAAAAAAAAAGCAAAAAAAAAAAAAAAGCAAGAAAATAATAACTCTTCACAATGTTTCAAGTACATTCAGTGATCATCAATAAAGAGATGCACTAAGGAGAGGTGACAAATTCATATATCTGGAGAAGCCTATCCATAACTAACTACATTGGGGCTAAACCTGGGATATCCAGTCAACCCTGCCAAACCATATGAAATTAGCATAGGGCATTACAATGGTGGTAGGTAAGCTTTTCTTGTAGAAGCTGGGAGCTAACATAATCATTGTTATCATAACTCATTGTTTGTGGGTCTGAGAAGCAGAAAACAACCAATATCTGGTGATCAGTTCTCTAGCAACATACAGGAGCCGATCCATGTTTTTTTGAGATGTTCACCATCCAGCAATATCGTCTTGAGGTTGTGCAAAGCATTAAATCAATCACAACGATACATATAAACTTTCTATCACAATCTGTCTCCTGAGTTTGGTCGACTCCCCAGCTCCTACAAAGCTGATTTGCATCTGCTTACACTATTATGTTTTATGCTAGAAAGCTGATTATTCTCTTGTGAAAAAAAAAAACAATGGCACCCTCTTTGTTGGCCTGTAAAGGGTTAATTAATAAAGCCTTACCTTTTTACAAGGCCACATACATCAGCAGAGGGGTGCCAACTAAATTGGACAAGGTGTATGTGTGGGGGGGTGAGTCCACAGCCCCTGATGCAGCCAGTTTAAGCCAGCAAACGGGTCATGCCATACTGCCACCAGATTCACTCAGTGGGACCACTGAATACCAGCTGAGGATGATAATGGCCAATGTGTTAAGTATACTCTCTCACTCTCTCTGGTTGTACAGTGCACATTTTATGAAGGCATTATTGAATGATTGTGGAATCCACCTAAGGACTGTATTTGACATGATATGCTGCTTTGTTTTATATTGGATGTTGAATCCACTTCTACGTGGTTTGGCCATACCCATTTCAACATATCATCTTGAGGAAATGTTATCCACATCAAATGTGAAACGGAGCTTAATCTAGTATATATGCATGTATGTGAACTATGTTTGAAATAACTTTTAGGCTCCTACATGCAATATGTGGACATCTGTGAGAGGGAGGTGACTTCTTTCCTAAATGGTAAGGTAACTTCCTTTGGACCACAGGGTACTGCATACAATATCTGGATGCTTGGATTGAATTGAAAACATAACTGAATCTAGTATATACGCATGTATGCAGATTATGTTTGAATGAACGTTTAAGGCTCTTATATGGAATATGTGGACATCTGTGAGAGGGAGGCGACTTCTTCCTTGAATGATAAGGCTGCTTAACTCAGTAACCTCCTCTGGACCACAGGGTACTGCATACAATATCTGGATGCCTGTGAGAGCAAGGGGCTGACCATTGCTGAAGGGATCAGGCAAATCATCAGTTGCAGTCCCAATTGCTTCCTCTGGACCACAGCATTTACATCTTATCATTTATCCTTGCCAAGCTGGAATAAAATGGCCATCTTCTGACTGTCATCTGTGAGTGGGAAACAGGGGCGGACTGACAACTCATGGGGCCCCCGGGCAATAGGGGATCATGGGGCCCCTGTGTCCTCACCAACACCCAAAAAAACCTATGAAAAAGCCAATGAAAGGTACCAGGGGCATCTTATGAGGCCCCCTACTGACCCTGGGCCCTCGTGTGTTCGAATGGTCAGTCTGCCCCTGGTGGGAAACAATCAGTATTTTGGAAGCATATCTACACTCCAGCTTTAGCATTTTCCTCCTGGGCTATGGATCCTTTGGAAAAGTCGGATGATATTAGGGGATAAAGTTATCTGCATAATTCCAGCTCCCTTTACGATTTATATTGGCCAATTTGTTATCCCTGTTGATATGTATATTATATTGGGCGCTCTTGTTGGAGCCCAAACTCTGTAGCTGTAAGATAAAGGTGCCAGATGGATATCAGGGCTGGATGGGAGCAGTAACATTGAGGCAGCTCTTCTTAGAGTGAAAGCAAGGCTCTAATGCAGTAACAAGAAAAAGAGAGGAAGGCACCTCTAAGTGCAGTATTGACAATTTATTCAGTAAACAATGGAAAATTTGCGCTTAGAAGATAAACAGTTAAAAAGACTCGTCATGTGATATAATAAGATCCAGGTGGGACATCCAGCCGTCCAGCAGCAAACTCTGTCTATAGCAGGGGTTAAAATTTTGAGTCCAGACCTACTCACAAAACTACTCTCAACCAGTTGCCCCACCCAACCTTGCCCAGGTCCACCCCCAACCCCACCCATGGCCCACCCCAAACCCCACCCCTGCCCCACCCCCAACCACACCCCCTTAAAGCTTATGAAATTAAATTTTTCTTTAGAATAAATAGTCCAAAATATAAAACTGTACAGAGTAATGTATATCCCAGCTCCCCTGTACTCCATTATAGTGATGTGACGTGTATACAGTACTGTATATCCCAGCTCCCCTGTACTCCATTATAGTGATATGACATGTATACAGTATGTATATCCCAGCTCCCCTGTACTCCATTATAGTGATATGACGTGTATACAGTAATGTATATCCCAGCTCCCCTGTACTCAATTATAGTGATGTGACGTGTATACAGTAATGTACATCCCAGCTCCCCTGTACTCAATTATAGTGATGTGACGTGTATACAGTAATGTACATCCCAGCTCCCCTGTACTCCATTATAGTGATGTGACGTGTATACAGTAATGTATATCCCAGCTCCCCTGTACTCCATTATAGTGATGTGACGTGTATACAGTAATGTATATCCCAGCTCCCCTGTACTCCATTATAGTGATATGACATGTATACAGTAATGTATATCCCAGCTCCCCTGTACGCCATTATAGTGATGTGACGTGTACACAGTAATGTATATCCCAGCTCCCCTGTACTCCATTATAGTGATGTGACGTGTACACAGTAATGTATATCCCAGCTCCCCTGTACTCCATTATAGTGATGTGACATGTACACAGTATGTATATCCCAGCTCCCCTGTACTCCATTATAGTGATGTGACATGTACACAGTAATGTATATCCCAGCTCCCCTGTACTCCATTATAGTGATGTGACATGTAGACAGTAATGTATATCCCAGCTCCCCTGTACTCCATTATAGTGATGTGACATGTAGACAGTAATGTACAGTATATCCCAGCTCCTCTGTACTCCATTATAGTGATATGACATGTATACAGTAATGTATATCCCAGCTCCCCTGTACTCCATTATAGTGATATGACATGTACACAGTAATGTATATCCCAGCTCCCCTGTACTCCATTATAGTGATATGACATGTACACAGTAATGTATATCCCAGCTCCCCTGTACTCCATTATAGTGATATGACATGTACACAGTAATGTATATCCCAGCTCTCCTGTACTCCATTATAGTGATATGACATGTACACAGTAATGTATATCCCAGCTCCCCTGTACTCCATTATAGTGATATGACATGTACACAGTAATGTATATCCCAGCTCCCCTGTACGCCATTATAGTGATATGACATGTACACAGTAATGTATATCCCAGCTCCCCTGTCCTCCATTATAGTGATATGACATGTATACAGTAATGTATATCCCAGCTCCCCTGTACTCCATTATAGTGATATGACATGTATACAGTATGTATATCCCAGCTCCCCTGTACTCCATTATAGTGATATGACATGTACACAGTAATGTATATCCCAGCTCCCCTGTACGCCATTATAGTGATATAACTTGTACACAGTAATGTATATCCCAGCTCCCCTGTACGCCATTATAGTGATATGACTTGTACACAGTAATGTATATCCCAGCTCCCCTGTACTCCATTATAGTGATGTGACGTGTACACAGTAATGTATATCCCAGCTCCCCTGTACTCCATTATAGTGATGTGACATGTACACAGTATGTATATCCCAGCTCCCCTGTACTCCATTATAGTGATGTGACATGTACACAGTAATGTATATCCCAGCTCCCCTGTACTCCATTATAGTGATGTGACATGTACACAGTAATGTATATCCCAGCTCCCCTGTACTCCATTATAGTGATGTGACATGTAGACAGTAATGTACAGTATATCCCAGCTCCCCTGTACTCCATTATAGTGATATGACATGTATACAGTAATGTATATCCCAGCTCCCCTGTACTCCATTATAGTGATATGACATGTATACAGTAATGTTATCCCAGCTCCCCTGTACTCCATTATAGTGATATGGCATGTATACAGTAATGTATATCCCAGCTCCCCTGTACTCCATTATAGTGATATGACATGTACACAGTAATGTATATCCCAGCTCCCCTGTACTCCATTATAGTGATATGACATGTACACAGTAATGTATATCCCAGCTCCCCTGTACTCCATTATAGTGATATGACATGTACACAGTAATGTATATCCCAGCTCCCCTGTACTCCATTATAGTGATATGACATGTACACAGTAATGTATATCCCAGCTCCCCTGTACGCCATTATAGTGATATGACATGTACACAGTAATGTATATCCCAGCTCCCCTGTCCTCCATTATAGTGATATGACATGTATACAGTAATGTATATCCCAGCTCCCCTGTACTCCATTATAGTGATATGACATGTATACAGTATGTATATCCCAGCTCCCCTGTACTCCATTATAGTGATATGACATGTACACAGTAATGTATATCCCAGCTCCCCTGTACGCCATTATAGTGATGTGACTTGTACACAGTAATGTATATCCCAGCTCCCCTGTACTCCATTATAGTGATGTGACGTGTACACAGTAATGTATATCCCAGCTCCCCTGTACTCCATTATAGTGATGTGACATGTACACAGTAATGTATATCCCAGCTCCCCTGTACTCCATTATAGTGATGTGACATGTAGACAGTAATGTATATCCCAGCTCCCCTGTACTCCATTATAGTGATGTGACATGTAGACAGTAATGTACAGTATATCCCAGCTCCCCTGTACTCCATTATAGTGATATGACATGTATACAGTAATGTATATCCCAGCTCCCCTGTATTCCATTATAGTCATATGACATGTATACAGTAATGTATATCCCAGCTCCCCTGTACTCCATTATAGTGATATGACGTGTACACAGTAATGTATATCCCAGCTCCCCTGTACTCCATTATAGTGATATGACGTGTACACAGTAATGTATATCCCAGCTCCCCTGTACTCCATTATAGTGATATGACGTGTACACAGTAATGTATATCCCAGCTCCCCTGTACTCCATTATAGTGATATGACGTGTACACAGTAATGTATATCCCAGCTCCCCTGTACTCCATTATAGTGATATGACGTGTACACAGTAATGTATATCCCAGCTCCCCTGTACGCCATTATAGTGATATGACGTGTACACAGTAATGTATATCCCAGCTCCCCTGTACGCCATTATAGTGATGTGACGTGTACACAGTAATGTATATCCCAGCTCCCCTGTCCTCCATTATAGTGATGTGACGTGTACACAGTAATGTATATCCCAGCTCCCCTGTACTCCATTATAGTGATGTGACGTGTACACAGTAATGTATATCCCAGCTCCCCTGTACTCCATTATAGTGATGTGACGTGTACACAGTAATGTATATCCCAGCTCCCCTGTACTCCATTATAGTGATATGGCGTGTACACAGTAATGTATATCCCAGCTCCCCTGTACTCCATTATAGTGATATGGCATGTACACAGTAATGTATATCCCAGCTCCCCTGTACTCCATTATAGTGATATGGCATGTACACAGTAATGTATATCCCAGCTCCCCTGTACTCCATTATAGTGATATGGCATGTACACAGTAATGTATATCCCAGCTCCCCTGTACTCCATTATAGTGATATGACATGTACACAGTAATGTATATCCCAGCTCCCCTGTACTCCATTATAGTGATATGACATGTACACAGTAATGTATATCCCAGCTCCCCTGTACTCCATTATAGTGATATGACATGTACACAGTAATGTATATCCCAGCTCCCCTGTACTCCATTATAGTGATATGACATGTACACAGTAATGTATATCCCAGCTCCCCTGTACTCCATTATAGTGATATGACATGTACACAGTAATGTATATCCCAGCTCCCCTGTACGCCATTATAGTGATATGACATGTACACAGTAATGTATATCCCAGCTCCCCTGTCCTCCATTATAGTGATATGACATGTATACAGTAATGTATATCCCAGCTCCCCTGTACTCCATTATAGTGATATGACATGTATACAGTATGTATATCCCAGCTCCCCTGTACTCCATTATAGTGATATGACATGTACACAGTAATGTATATCCCAGCTCCCCTGTACGCCATTATAGTGATATGACTTGTACACAGTAATGTATATCCCAGCTCCCCTGTACGCCATTATAGTGATATGACTTGTACACAGTAATGTATATCCCAGCTCCCCTGTACTCCATTATAGTGATATGACGTGTACACAGTAATGTATATCCCAGCTCCCCTGTACTCCATTATAGTGATATGACATGTATACAGTAATGATTACTGTATACATGTCATCACTATAATGGAGTACAGGGGAGCTGGGATATACATTACTGTATGGGCAGCACAGTGGCTAAATGGTTAGCACTTCCACCTGGCAGTACTAGGGTTGGTGGTTCGAATCCCAACCCTGGCACCACCTGCCTGGAGTTTGCATGTTCTCCCTGTGACTGCATGGGTTTCCTCCGGGTTCTCCGGTTTCTTCTCACACGCCAAAGACATGCTGATAGGTGAATTGGCTCCTGTCTAAATTGTCCCTAGTATGTGTAAGTATGAATGTGAGTTAGGGACCTTAGATTGTATGCCCCTTGAGGGTCAGGGACTGATGTGAATGTACAATATATATGTAAAGCGCTGCGTAAATTGACTGCGCTATTTAAGTACCTGAAATAAATAAATATACATGTCATATCACTATAATGGAGTACAGGGGAGCTGGGATTTACATTACTGAGTATTGTATATCCCAGCTCCCCTGTATAGTGATATGACATGTTGTATACAGTACTTCCTTTCCCCAGTCCCCTGCGGCGGTGGAGAGGGTGTCTCCTCTCAGCGGAGGAGAGTGGACCTCTCCTGCACCTGTCCCCTCGGCAGTGGTGCCACAAAAGCCGGAAACCGGAAGTTGTAAACCGGAACTTGGCTTCACAATGAGGCTTGGAGCGCAGGTGCAGTCGCAGCCGCTTGCCATAGAGGAATTTCTCCTCGCATTTGGAGGGCGGGCAAGCGGCTTTTTCAAGCCCTGGCCTATAGGATCAGGAAGTAGAGTCCAGGATGTGCCTGTGCATCAAAATGAAACTTGGAGAGGCTCCTTCTTCAGACCTGAGCCCCAATAGAACCCTGACATTTTTATAGTGTGAAGGGAATGGGAGGGAGGCAAGTAGTTCCTGGGTCCTAAGGACCTACATGTTTTCCTGCATCATACAGGAATTAATACAGATATAAAAAAAGAAATAAAAACACACGAGAGAATAGCTCTAATGCTTTTGGGTTAAAAAGTATACAAGTGTGTATGTATACATATAATAACATACAGTCAGGTCCATAAATACTGGGACATCAACACAATTCTAACATTTTTGGCTCTATACACCACCACAATGGATTTGAAATGAAATGAACAAGATGTGCTTTAACTGCAGACTGTCAGCTTTAATTTGAGGGTATTTACATCCAAATCAGGTGAACGGTGTAGGAATTACAACAGTTTGCATATGTGTCTCCCACTTGTTAAGGGACCAAAAGTAATGGGACAGAATAATAATCATAAATCAGACTTTCACTTTTTAATACTTGGTTGCAAATCTTTTGCAGTCAAGTACAGCCTGAAGTCTGGAACGCATAGACATCACCAGACGCTGAGTTTCATCCCTGATGATGCTCTGCCAGGCATCTACTGCAACTGTCTTCAGTTCCTGCTTGTTCTTGGGGCATTTTCCCTTCAGTTTTGTCTTCAGCAAGTGAAATGCATGCTCAATTGGATTCAGCTCAGGTGATTGACTTGGCCATTGCATAACATTCCACTTCTTTCCCTTAAAAAAACTTTTTGGTTGCTTTTGCAGTAAGCTTTGGGCCATTGTCCATCTGCACCGTGAAGCAGCTTTTCCAATGAGTTCTGAAGCATTTGGCTGAATATGAGCAGATAATATTGCCCAAAACACTTCAGAATTCATCCTGGTGCTTTTGTCAGCAGTCACATCATCAATAAATACAAGAGAACCGGTTCCATTGGCAGCCATACATGCCCACGCCATGACACTACCACCACCATGCTTCACTGATAAGGTGGTATGCTTAGGATCATGAGCAGTTCCTTTCCTTCTCCATACTCTTCTCTTCCCATCACTCTGGTACAAGTTGATCTCGGTCTCATCTGTCCATAGGATGTTGTTCCAGAACTGTGAAGGCTTTTTTAGATGTCGTTTGGCAAACTCTAATCTGGCCTTCCTGTTTTTGAGGCTCACCAATGGTTTACATCTTGTGGTGAACCCTCTGTATTCACTCTGGTGAAGTCTTCTCTTGATTGTTGACTTTGACACACATACACCTACCTCCTGGAGAGTGTTCTTGATCTGGCCAAATGTTGTGAAGGGTGTTTTCTTCACACCAGGAAAAGAATTCTTCGGACATCCACCACAGTTGTTTTCCGTGGTCTTCCGAGTCTTTTGGTGTTGCTGAGCTCACCAGTGCGTTCCTTCTTTTTAAGAATATTCCAAACAGTTGTTTTGGCCACGCCTAATGTTTTTTGATATCTCTCTGATGGGTTTGTTTTGTTTTTTCAGCCTAATGATGGCTTGCTTCACTGATAGTGACAGCTCTTTGGATCTCATCTTGAGAGTTGACAGCAACATATTCCAAATGCAAATAGCACACTTGAAATGAACTCTGGACCTTTTATCTGCTCATTGTAATTGGGATAATGAGGGAATAACACACACCTGGCCATGGAATAGCTGAGAAGCCAATTGTCCCATTAGTTTTGGTCCCTTAACAAGTGGGAAGCACCTATGCAAACTGTTGTAATTCCTACACCGTTCACCTGATTTGGATGTAAATACCCTCAAATTAAAGCTGACAGTCTGCAGTTAAAGCACATCTTGTTTGTTTCATTTCAAATCCATTGTGGTGGTGTATAGAGCCAAAAATGTTAGAATTGTGTCGATGTCCCAATACTTATGGACCTGACTGTATATCTAAAAAAATGGCATAGTCGATAGAAGGGAAATAGAAAATGACAATTAAATTAAATCTAAAAATACATAGAATAGAACAATGGAGGTGAAAATAAATGTTAATCATTGTATTTTCCCTATATAATTATATTATTGCATCTTCTTTTCTTTTTTTTTAATTATGGAATTATTATGGAAATTGAATCACTTAAATACTCTGCTCTAGAAACATTTTTTTTCCATATTCCCCAACACACTGTTCACTCCTATGGGGAAGTTTCTACACCCAAGCTATAATAAGTTATGTTATTCTTTCAAAAAGTTAGAAAGAATTGTCCACCTAGCTAACACTTAATGGTGGGATAAATTCTTTCTATCCAATTATCTCTCTTCCCATATTACACCCAGAGGACTTAGAATCCTAAAAGAGTGTACCTTTCTAGATACTGAACACACTAAAGAATGGCTCTCCATTTCAGAGTTCTGTACCACAAAATGGATACAAATCCTTATAGATCAAAGAAGTGTTAAATACGATCAGCTTGTACACCAAATTCAAACAGTAGCCCAAGAGATTATGTATATGGCCACATCACTACCAAAGAGATGGTTTATTACCCTTAAAAAAGTCACGAAATACAAAGAAGATCATTTAATTAAAACAAAATTTGGCAAGTTTCGCCGAGATTTGGATGATTACAATTATAATAAAGTTTTTTCATGGAAACATAAGCGACACAATAATATCCCACTTCTAATGTCCATCCGGTTTCCTGAACATTTCCAAGTGTCCGCCAACACCCATACATCTCTACCAATTCTACGTTCTTAGGATATACTGTCTACTCATTCTTCCCACTACCCCTCTTATAAAAACTCCTCTACTAAGGTTAAACAAGAACATTCATTCCCCTCTAGACACACCGGTCCCAATACCACACTAGTAGCTCACTCCAATGCAGGTTTACATGTCAAGTCTGCTATACATCCACACACTTCCCATGTACCCAGGAACAATGTTTCCACCAATTCCTGCATCACATCTCATACCCAGGATAGTAACATCCTAACAGTTGCTCCAGTTTACCAACCTTCATGTTACCCCAGCAATCCACATCTAGGCTCTTCCAATATAGATAAGACCAATACTACTACTTTGATTCCTCCTGCACTTGATAAACATTTAGATGCTCCACCACCGCATTTAAACACGCAGGTCCATGAATGTAGTAATCCTAACTTGTCGTTCGATAATTCTAACACCACCTTATGCTGCCCTTTACAATATGGGGACTTCACTACTCCCATTGGCACTAATACATCTGTGGTATCTTTTTTAGTGCAAAGCCTTCCTCTTCCACCAAGACCACCCAAAACACAAAAAAGAAAAAGAAAATATGCAGAAGAGGCTGTAGGGGAAGGGGAGGTAGGCCCCCCCTCATCTCAGAAAACAGCGCCTACGGTAAAGATTTTTACATTTATCCAACCATCTTTTATCTTTGCAGGAGATCACTCTATTGAGTCGGGGATTATCCTTCGCCCCTACCATTCCACCCAACCCCTTTGTATTGTTCAAGGACCTCAACAGATTTGTACACAATCTCACTTTAAAAAGATACTTCAGCATAAAGGCTGAGAAAAGAGGCCCTTCTGACTATGAGATAGACGACAACAATGACACTAGCCCAAACATCTCTGTCGATGACCAAACAGCTTTAACTATATTACAAGAACTATATTTCGATAATTCTGAATATAATCATCTATCAGAACCGGAGGCTGTCCTCTTTACACAACATCTTCTATCCTCTCCAGTTATGAGACAAACCACACTGAGACCCAAATCCAGCTTCCACCCTACACAGTGCAAAGGTCCATGCTTGGAAACCTTTATCGAATTGTCTATTCCGACCTCATTTCTATGTGTAACAACACTAAGAAAAATAAGTATAGACAACACAACCTCACAAGGGACGAACAAAAAGCCCTTAAACTACTCACCACCAATGACAATCTAATTATAAAACCTGCTTATAAAGGAAGTAGTATAGTCATATTAAACCGCAATGACTATCTTTCGCAAACACATAGACTACTATCAGATACAGACACATATACTAAAGTAAAAAGTGATCCACTCCTTACATTCAGTATCGAGGCCAAACAATTAGCTACCCAAGCATTTAATGATGGTATTATTTCTAAAATGGAAATATAATTTTTGATCCAAGAATTTTACCACACGCCATATTTCTATTATTTGCTCAAGGTGCATAAAAATACTACCAATCCTCCTGGCCGACCCATAGTGGCCGCCACGAACAGTGTCTCTAGCGACTTCTCACAATATGTAGATTTCTTCTTACAACCATTAGCCCAAAATCTGCAATCATTTATCAGAGATGGTATACACTTATTAGAACTACTGCATACCTATCGATGGGAACCTACATATCTTTGGCTGCCCCTTGATGTCTCCTCTCTCTATACATTTATACCCCACCATGTTGGCATACGGGCCATGCAACATTTTTTATCAGAGGATGCTACCATTAACCCTAGACAGGCCACATTTGTTCTCAATGCTACACTATTTTGCCTTTCTCATAATTATTTTTAATTTGATAGAGATTTCTACTTGCAGCTATAAGGCACAGCTATGGGAGCTAATTTTGCCCCTTCATACGCCAATCTCACTATGGGCCACTGGGAACATCTTTATTTCTGGCATAACAACCCATATGGTCGCTACATTGACGACATTATAATTATTTGGGATGGAAACATTACTGACATTGAGGATTTTGTATCCTACTGTAATATCAATGATATGGGCCTGGCATTTACCCATGTAGTCGACAAAGACCACCTAGCCTTTCTTGATCTTGATATTTATCACAGCAACAATCAGATCCATGCCAGGAACTACACCAAACCCACAGCCGGAAACTCTTTTTTACATTATAAGAGTTGCCACCACACACGTTGGCTTAGAAACATTCCTAAAAGCCAATTTTGCCAAATGCGCCATAACTGCACACAGCAATCTGACTACATTTCACAAGGTACAATACTTA